CGAAACGGGGACGCGGCGGTGGCGGGGTCGGGGCCCGTCAGTGAGGGGTACGAGTCCCGTGGCCCATAAAACGTATAAGCACCCTCCTAATTCTCACCGTCCCGGCGAGCCTTACCAGGCGGTGGCGGGGTCGGGGCCCGTCAGTGAGGGGTACGAGTCCCGTGGCCCATAAAACGTATAAGCACCCTCCTAATTCTCACCGTCCCGGCGAGCCTTACCACCTCGCGAAAACCCATTTCTGGAGGCTTTTTTGTTGATGGTTTCGGTGACACCGACCCTTCTCTGTAACTTTTTTCAGGATGAATTTCATCCCTTCATCGAAGCACTTCTGCCTCACGTCCGAGCGTTTGCGTACACGTGGTTCAACCTGCAAGCCCGAAAAAGAAAATACTTCAAAAAACATGAAAAACGCATGTCAAAAGAGGAAGAGAGAGCCGTGAAGGACGAACTGCTAAGTGAAAAACCCGAGGTAAAGCAAAAATGGGCATCCAGACTTCTGGCAAAGCTCCGGAAAGATATCAGGCCTGAATTTCGGGAGGATTTTGTTCTCACAGTCACAGGAAAAAAGCCTCCGTGTTGCGTTCTTTCCAATCCAGACCAGAAGGGCAAGATGAGAAGAATTGACTGCCTTCGCCAGGCAGATAAGGTCTGGAGGTTGGACCTTGTTATGGTGATTTTATTTAAAGGTATTCCGCTCGAAAGTACTGATGGCGAGCGCCTTGTAAAGTCCCCACAGTGCTCTAACCCCGGGCTGTGCGTACAGCCCCACCATATAGGAGTTTCTGTTAAGGAACTCGATTTATATTTGGCATACTTTGTGCACGCAGCAGGTAAGTGCCTTTCTATACCACCTTCTCCAACTTTTCGGTTTATCTCCGTGCCGGGTGCCGTGCCTCGGCGGCGGCTGCATGAGCCGGGGAGGGAGCGGGGGACGCCGGTTATCGCCTTCCCGGGGTGGCGAGTGGAGTGCCAAAACTTCCCCCCCCCCCACCCCGGCCCTTTATTTTTTTTTTTTTTTTTATTTAAGGTGCAGCCGTGTAAAAGTGGCTCTCGTTTTCCCGGGGTTAACGGCGTTTCGGGCATCCTTCGCAGGTGTTTTATCCTAAATGTTGTCCTAGGAGGGATCGCAGCCGGATGCGGCATCCTTTATCCTGATTTTGTGGGAAAGCATATAGATATTAATTTAAAAAAAAAAAAAAAGTTTGTATGTGTTAAGCACAAAGTCGTAGAGGGCTAGAGGTGCCCAAGGGTGAGGAGTATGGGGTGTCTCCACCCCACAGGGGTGGGATGGGGAGTGGAAGTCCCACAGGATTGGGCTCAGAGGGAAAGGAGAAGACGGTCCCTCGATAGCAAACCTAGCCGTCAGGTCCAAGCAGCCACAAAACCAACCCCTGGGTAGTCCTGTGGGGAAAAAAATGGCATTTAAGCCCCCTGAAATATCACGATTTATACACCTAGAAGCTGAGCAGGTCTTGAAACAAATTCCTGGTTTGATAATATTTTGCTTACAGGGTGGGGGGGGGCTGAAGTGTTTTTGCATGTGATGAAATTGAAAATCTTGGGATCTCTGAGTCCAGCGCAAAGTGTGCCCTGCCCGCGGAGTCACTTGGTGTGCTCAGAGAATGGGCAGTAGGTTGACTGGATAAAATAATGTGCTATTGTAGTTCTCCTGAGTGATTATATCGCAGAAAAATGCGCGCGTGTGAAGTGCTAGGCCCCGTTTTTCACGTCTCGTACGCACAGGTCCCCCTGGGTTTCAGCCTGACTTGCAAGTTGAGGGGCTGGACAGGCTGGGAAAAAAAAAGAGGAGCAGAGGGGAGAGGAGTCATCTTAGTAGAAACTGTTTCTATGTAAATATGTATTGGTAAGAAAACTGAGCAAATCACAGCAGTGGGAACCTGCATTCCCAATGCCACCTTCTTTTTGGAGGGGCTTGTGGAAAGTTTTGGCTATCCCAAAGTTTTTCTGCACTGCGTCCCTGCAGTGGTGGTTGCGACAGGCAGTGCCGCCGCTGTGATTTTTACGGGTATAATCCCTGTTTGGAAATAACTTTCGAGTATCCTTATGGTATTTCCTACAGATAAGCTGTGAAATTTACTTTGCACTTCGGTGCGATGTGGTAAATCATATTGCACGTTTATGGCGAAGGGGAGGTAGGCAAATATTGTGGAAAATTATTTATTTACTCTGCGATTTATTATGGGGCACGGTGAAGGAAGGATTACCAATTAATGGCTAACCGAAGGGAGATTGGGGCTGGGGCGTCGCAGGTCCCCTCCCGTTCCATCACCGATCCTCAGGAGACCCGGGACTCGCATCCCTTTTGTCTGCCTCAGTTTCCTCCTCCGCACATCGGCACGGGCTGATGCGCTTAAAGCGCCTTGACATCCACGGCTGAAAACCGCTATGTACTGCTATACGGCACGCAGGTTTTTATTATTTGGATTTATATATAGCGTGATGCCGGTAAATACTGGTCCGTATTGTGTTTCCTAAGTGAAAAGCAGCCTTCTGCGGAGTGCAAAAGTTGTTAATAAGAACCAACGGTCTTGGTTTAGCCTGCACGTAGGGTCACAAAAACGTAGGATGGGGAGAAAAGGACCAAACCCAGGGATGTACGTACTCCGCAGAGCTTGAGGGGATCCTCTCCCCGTTATAACAGTCGGGCAATAGACACTATAAAAGTTCAATATTGTGATTAGGGATATACCATCTTATCAGCACGCTGTTGGCAAACAGTAACCTTGATAGCGAACTCTTATTTATTTCTGCCTTCATCATCAACAGGCAGCAATTGCACTAATTGTTCTTTGGACTAGATGTTTGCCGCGGAAACTTAGCGCGAGGCTTAGGCTCGTTTTTTTGGGGGGTTAGATTTGCGGTTTTGTGTAAGCAGTAACGCGCTCGTACAGACCGCGCCGCTTCGTGTTTTCGGCCGTTGTTTGCTGATTGCACGCATCGCATTGTGCTCTTAATGCAGTAGCGTATGCTGGCGTATTCCCTGCTAAACCTCACCGGGGAGGGGGACAAAATGATTTTGAGGAGGTAGCACAGCATGGTCGCCGCCTATATCGCTTCACAGAGGTGTACCGAAAGCATCGCATATAGGCTACCTTTTTTTTTCCCCCCTTTTTTCCCTTTTTTTTCCCCCCTCCGATGTATCCCAGCAGTCTTTGTTACACCTGAACATTGGCCAAGTTGACAGCCATTGGTTCCCGCAGACCCGCAGTAATGGCAGCTTGTGCCGGGTGCGCAACAGGAAAATTACAAAAGAAAAAAAAAAAAATTAAGGGTCCTTTGTCTCAAACTCCATCAGACCTCGCTCCCCAAATGTATGGACCGCTTATTTATAAGGAGGAAGTTGCCAGCGCAAATATTAGGTAGGCTGGTCAACTTACATATAGCGGATTTGACAAGCATCTGCTATAGTACAGAAGATTTGTAAACACTAAACAATGTTTTTACCTCCTTAAAACTTTTGAGAAGTTGCCAGTATTGGCAGGAGGCACAGACTCCGAAACGTGCTTGAAGATATGTGCCAAAACCATTGTGACCTTTTCACCCATAGTGTTCGCTTCTCTTTTTCTTAGGGGTTTTTTTTTTCCCCCACTCTTCGTCTTCTTTTTTTGGGGGGGAGAGTATTCTCTTCCAAGATGCCCTTATTCAAGATGACTTCGGCAGCGAGATGTCCCTTCTAAACATGTACAATAATTATTGCTTTGAATCCACGCTTTTTCTTCAGTAGGCACTATCATCTGTAAGGGAACACATGTGCACAGATTTAAATAGTGCTTCTTACAAAGCTACTGAAATCAATTATTGTCCTTAAGAACTGGCTAGAAAGAGGAAACAAAAATATGCAAATAGGCAAACTACATGTCATTTTCCTTTAAAAAAAAAAGGGAAAAAAAAAAAAGGAAAGGAAGATTGGTGTTTTGTGAATTAGAGGTTGACCAAAAAATGTATTGAAATCCAGAGTGTTGCTCTCAGTTTGCAGTTTCTAATCTGCTTAACTAAAAGCAGGCAGCATTTTCATACCCTGAACTTGGGTTCGCTTTTTAGTTTTCACTTATTCTGCGCTTGTATCAAATGACAAGTTGGAAACCATTGTGGCAAACCGTTTTCTTTGTGGGAGTCGAACAGTAAAGCTAATTTATGACCAGTCCTTTACCAGATGATCTGTATCAGAATCTACAATATACTAGGCACGTGGCAAGGTCACAATTTAAGTTGTTAAGGTCACAACCTTAGCCACCAGGCATTTGACCTTTTAGATAAAGTTAACCTTTGTTCATTAGTAGGCACTCAACCGAGAACTTTCTGGAGTTTTTTACTGCTTTGGAGTTCCTTCTGCTAATGTGATCAGATTGGAGAATAGATTCGCAATGGAAGTAGTTAAATTTTGTGAGAGGTCACAGTTTTTAGAGACTTCTCCAGTGGACGAGGCTGGATGGCAGGCCAGGAGGTGATGCTGCAATGCCCAATTTATTTTTTTGGATGGCTATCGTTATGCGCTTCGGGCGAGAATTAAGCTAACAAGGTATTTGTGGCACAGAAAATCTTTTAATCTTTCAGAAGGACATTTAAAAATCCCAACTTTAAGAGAAATCTGGGGATAGGGTTTTATTTACATGAGCTCATTTTTCTGTTTGTGTTTAGAATAGAAGCCAGCGAAGATGCAAGAAGTCAGCCTTATTTCTGCAACTGCGAAAATTTACTTAGCATCTAAATATGCTCTGTGGCTAATTGCCTGAGCAATAGTGTATAGCACATGACCTTGAACTTTAAGCAGACCCCATTTTACGTTCCCATCGGCGGATTTAAAATATTTCTGCTTGGACCTCCGCAAAGTGGCATTGATGGGAATAACCCAAAGATTGGTTAATGCAGAGAACAACTGCGGACAGCCCAAAATACCCGTGAAGGTATCGGGGAGTCCGAAAGGTACATAAGGCTTTGCGCCGTAATCTTTTAGTACAATTGGTATTGATTGTTGCTGCGTTAATCCTGTTAATAGCCGCAGCCGGTTCGGCGTGTTGCAGGGATGCGAGAGGTGTCCTGACAATACTGTGCATCACCAAAAGAGCTGTCGCAGCGTCTTGAACTCCTGATAGCTGCTTTGCAAAAGTGGAGCGTTCGACGGTGGAATCTATTGCCGGCTCATATAGAAACACACACCATATTGTTTACTTAATTATGCCGTAGCGAAGGCTCATTTTTAATTATTTAGCTGACTTTCTCGCTTTGCTGTGATATCACATTTATTATTTAATTTAAAATCAAAAGGGCTGCGCTACTGTTAGTTTTTGATGCATTTTACTTTTGTTTTGGCTACGTTATTGTCATTCCATCATACAGTAATCCAGATAGCCGTGATATGCAGATTGGCCAGATGGTCATGTTAACAGATTGAGAACCCACTTCCCACTGCTAAAGAGCAGGTGTAAGATCAGTGGGCTTTTTTTTTTTTCCCCCCCTCCTTTCCTCCCAAGTTTCAACCAAAATGCTCTTTAGACAGCTCATAATGGTAGTTAAAAAGGGGCACATTTCAAATTATGTTTGTTCTGTGGAGATAATATGTAATATATATGTCGGTTTTACACGTATCTGAAGACTTTTAAAGCATCTGTGACATTCCCTCCGTATATAAGGCTTTTGAAAACCTCCTTCCGGCCCGTGGCTGTTCCAGCGTATGTGCAAAAAGGGCCTTAAAGTTTTGTTTGCGATGCTAATAGTCCCTACACATTTCTACAGACAGATTACATTTACTCTTACTAAAAAATACTCAAGCCAGCTTTGCACCAGGTATTTCACACGCGTTCCCTATACAGGGCTCCCTGCGAATGTGCAGGGCAACCTGAAAAGTTTGGTGTTCAGCTGAGATTTTAATATTTAGGGTCTCACAGAGGTTTTTTTTTCCCCTCCATTAATTCTTGCCACGGTGAGAAGTCTATAGTTTTAAAGAAAAAAGTGAAATGAAGACATCTCACGGTATTTCTGCCCTAAAGGAATACCAGAAGACGGATTTTGCATTGCTTTAGCCTTATAAAAGGTGCCCGTAAAAAGTCAGTGGTGGGAGCCTGGGTCTATATCTTAGTCGGGAGAGGTGGGGAGATGACAGCTATAGCTCCTTGATACCCCAAATTTCGTGTACCCGCCTATCACGGGCGTGCACGAAACACGGCGATCTGCATGCCCCGCGTGGCGCAGAAAGATATCTGCATCTATCGATGCTCTCCGCTTTGGGGAGCGGGACCGACCGCTTTCTGCAGCTGCGAGCAGGGCGGTAGCTGACAGAAGCAGGATTTAGGTGGGACAACTGCTCTCCCCGTGCAGTTGTAACTGAGCCGGTGAGTATCCGTGATAATTCGGATACTAACTGGTGCGGCACTTGGGACAGTCTGCTCTATCACGAACCCCTGGCAGGCGTTCAGTCATGTGGTTTAGCTTTCCCCTTTCTCCAACAACAACAACAACAGCAACAACAAATAAACACGGGATAAAGACATATTTCATATGCCCAGGATGTTTTCCAGGTGATGGGTTCGGCCGGTATAAGGGCACGTTATTTCCATACCTCCCTGCCCCGGCGGGCTTCGAGGCGCAGAAGCGGGAGAAGCCTTTGAATGGTAAAAAAGTTGCCCAACGCTGCTGGCTTGTCTACAAGCGACTGCACTTTTATATTTCCCTTCTTTTTCCACCCAATGATGAATAGCATTAATTTAGATCTATTTAAGGCGAGTGTGGGAGAAACCACAATCTTTGTTGTGGTCACTGCTGTACACAGCGGGGCTGAATGTTTCTCTTGGTTGAGGCCTCAAAGCTGAATCTGGAGAACCCAAAACATCGTGTCAGCTTTTCAAACCCTTCAAAGAGACAGTGGAATCCTAATTGTTCATAAAACCCGCTATTTATTATTACAATTATGTATTTTCTCCCCATTCGGATGTAAAGGAAAGGGCATCCCTTGCTTTCCGTGCCGTGAGCTTCTTCGCAGCTCCTCCTCCTCCTCCTCCTCCTCCTTCCCTCGATGCTTCGGGTTCAGGCCCTGGCCAAGGCTTTCGCAACCAGCAAACAAACCTCAGCCCGCTGCTCCGTAAACCCTCAACCCCTCCCCGAAAGCCTGCGCTTTGCCGCACACATCCCAAGGTTGGACCCTCCGGGGCTTGGGGACCGTCCCTGGTGGGATGGCTTTTGGGGCATCCTCGTTGGGAGCTGTGGGTCTGGCTCTGCCCCCGCTCCCTTCCACACAGGCAAGGGCTGGAGCTGCTGATTAAATTACAGGCTGTAAATTCAGGGCAAATTATTTTAGCCTCCTAACAGCAGCCGACCCTGAAGGTTTCCTTACGACAGTGAGAGCTCTCAGTAGATAAAGAGTTGTCGGTGGACTGAAATTCATTTTAATCGCTTTGGTTTTTCTGTTCATGTGGTGCTTTTCATTCATTTCATCTTTGGTTATTGTTAATTATCATCACCTGCATTATGGTGGCCACCAAAAAGCCCGGCTGGGATCAGCAGATGGGTCATGGTGCCTGGGATGTGCGGGCAGTTTTGTCCCAGCAAGTTCTTTGGGGGGTTGCAGTGTTTTACACCCGTTGCAAGGGCAGTGCCCCGGCCGATCCCCTCATCACAGCGTAATTAATTTTGAAGAGCTAACGGTGTATTTATGTATTTTTCTAAAGTGTTTCTAGCTCGCATCGCGCCATGTCCCCAGCCAGGGGATGGATGCGGGCACCTGAGCTCAGCCCCGCGCGTGGCATCGTCGCGGCTCGGCACGTAGGAGGAGGAGGATGTAGCCCCCGTAGCGCGGGTGGATTCGGGCTGGATTCGTAGCCGCTGTCTGTAAAATGCACGAGGGCCTCCATTTTGTGTGCCAGACTCTCATGTGCGAGCGCAAAATGGAGAGCTGCGCAGTTGAGTTTTGCCTATAGCGAAGCGCGTAGGCATACGTTGCCAGTGGTCCCTGCACGCCGCGGTGCACGCCGACCCATGGCGAGGCTCAGGAGGGGGTATCCTGAGCTTGTACATCCGTCGGCTCCTCCTAAGGGGGTCTCGGTCTCTTCTCGGGTTCCTTAATATCCACCCTCCCCATCCGAGTGCTATCCCGGTGTCGCGGCAAGCTGGCACGTTGGCTCTCGGGCTGGTGCGAAGGACCCCGGGGAGTTGTTTCTCCTTCCCCGCGGGCTTTGGTACACATCAGTGCCATTAGATTAGCAAGATAAAATCAAGGCAGGTTTAATGACACGCTATTCTGAAAGTTTCCTGGACTTTATTGTTCACAACTTGGACCTGAGTCGGGTTATTTACACATGAGGATTAAAAAGCTGCAAACAACTGTGTGATTTTTAGGGGCTGAAAGCAATTAGCATATGTGGGTAGGAGGATACGCTGCATGTCTGCGTTCCTTTAAAATATAAATCACAGTTATTTAATTATGTTTTGAGAGGGCAGATTTAAGGATATACTGCAAAATGCATTACCTATTATACCAACACGATAATCTTATTAACCTTGCTTTCTACTTTTTAATTTTATTGTGCACCCTGTACAACTCTTATGATATCAAAAATAATTACTTTGAGAATACATGATGTCAGAGGTCCGATATGACATTTATCTTCACAAGTGAGGAGACGGCTATCGCGTGCATTGCATAGCAGCACGGGAGGCATCAGGCAGGTCCGCACCGGGCAGAGGAAGCGAAGATGGGTATCATCAGATGCTGTTGAATGTATATAAGCGTGCGTTTGCAGATTTGTGTTATAGCCGAGGGCCGGCTTGACCAAACTTGATGCAATTCAGGATCCGCGGGCCTCCCGCAATAGGAAGGCTGAACGTTTTACTTGCATGTGCCGTACACTCCCGTCGGTGAGCAGATATTTCAAGGCGGCTCCGTGCATCCAGCCTCAATCCCAGTTGGATCTCCTGTTAAACCCTGCGTCCTCCATCCCATCCCTCCTCAGGACAGCGCCTCTCTCTGTTTTTTTTTAATCCATCTCTCCTAATGTTTGATATGTGTTGATATTTCCCCCTTATTTTGTGAGGGAATGGGTGAGGGTGATGGGTGAGGGGAAACAAATGCCATAATAATATCCTTTTTCAGAAGAATATAGTTTAATTTTGTGTGTGCGTGCAGCAGCTGCCATTGGCAAGCTGTCATCTTTGTTGCCATGGGCTGTTTTTTTTTGCATGTGTGCCAGAACATGATTGGATGTTTCAGCATGTTCATGGTTTGGGGTGAGATATATCTGTAGTGAAGCACAAAATTATCACGGGGTTGGTGAGTGTCCAAGGTTGGGTTATTCGTCCAGGTGAGCTGGTTGTGGTGGAGAGGGTCGTGCAAGTGTGGTACCTGGTGGTTGGTTGGTTGATGAGATAGAACTCGCTGGTGCGCTGGATTTTTGGATGATGTAAGAAGATTGTTTAAAAACATCACAGGAGGGTGTATCACCAAGATCTCCTCCAGCAGGACAGCCATGGGGCACAGCAGGAAGCCCCTGTCTTACCTGGGGGGGGACCGGCCGGTGCGTTTCTCCTGCCCACCTCACTCACCTGGTGCACACATCCCATGGGAGCTCATGTCCATCCCCGGCTCTCGCTGGCACCGCGGGGACCTGGACGGTGGCACCAGTGAGTTTGTGCTGCCTGAGACCCGGTGATACACAGGCTCTGGACGGGGCTTGTCGCGCAGATGGGGATGGGTCGCACCTTCCACAGGGCGCAAAACTAGTGCGGCATCACCCACGAGAGCTGCAGGTGACAGCAAGTCCTCCGGACCTGCCACCGTGCACTTAGCCCCGCTCCTTGGTTTCATCCCTTTCTCATATTCATAACACGTTCGTAGCATCAGTCTCTAAACAAAGTCTAAACCTGCTCTGCACCGTTCTCCGCGCTGCACATCTCTCTTGTCGTCCCAGCGGCTGTCGGTTGGACTCAGTGATCTGAAAGGTCTTTTCCAACCCAAATGATTCTGTGATTCCAAGTGACACGCGTTGGGAGAGCAGGAGTGCTCTTCAGCCCGGGAAACCCACCGCCCGGCTGCGGGGATCCTCGCTAGGTGCAAAATGCATTTGCAAACTCGGCAGAAAAATATTTCATAGGGAGACATCTCCGTGCAGCCCTCTTAGGCTCGGACTAGTCCTAAACCGGAGCACCCGGCAAGGGGAAGGTTGAGCGCAGGCACTGTGCGCGGTCTGCCGAAGGCTTCAGGAGAAAGAAAGGACGAAGAACTAAATGTAAAGTGTTGAGACAGCCTCATTCATGTTGCATTTTTCTGCGTCTACAGATTTAGTCTTGTGTGTGAGGGACAGATAATGAGCTGCGTGAGCTTTGTAATGAGCATCGCGTCCGGTTAAATTACCGTTTTTGTGTTTAAAGCCAGTACGTGTGTTACAAAATACCTTGTAATGCATTGAAAGAACAGGGATGAACCCCTGTAAAAGTATCAAAAGACAAGTTAGATAGTTGCTACGTTTATTGTCAGGATGAACACTTAGTGGAGATTTTAATGCAGAAATACATTGTCAATCAGATTTCATCCTAAGGATGTTTGCTCGAAATTTTGTCTGATCTTTTTACCCAATAAGGTTTTAATTTGATATGGAAGAAAATGGTCAAATCCCTGAGTGATGCTGGAAACTTAGGGTAAAATTTAAATTTAATTCAGTTCTTTCTTTTTCTGTGGGTTTTTTTTTTTTCTTTTAAGGCAAAGTAGTTTCAAGTAAATCAGAAGAATGAATTCTTTGTATCAGGATGCTTTTCTAAAGCCCAGCTATTGTTGGGATCCCTTTTAGGGAGGATAGCCACTGCAATGCTTTTATTGTGTGATGACGAGGACTTTTCCTGACGCGATGAGGACTTCATTAAAAATAGCCAACAAACCTATTTACATTTGTTTCTGTGTTAAAAAGTAAAAAGTAGTTGTCGCTGAGCTAAAAAGTAAATCCCGCATCATTTTATTGGAAAGCTTCACAGACGATTTGCCTGGCTGCAGGAGGATCAGCCTCAATAGTGGCCGAACCCCCGCGAGCGTAGGTTGGGTATTGCTGGAAAAGTCGGGAAAAACACGGGGCAGTCAGGTAAGAAGTGGGATTTTTGTGGTCAAGACCTTTTTTTTTTTTTTTCCCCCCCCTGTAGAGAAGGACATCAGCTTCAACAGCTCTGGTTTAGGTTCTTCCTAGGCAGATGCAGTTATAAACACCCAGGCGTGGAGCTCAGTGCTGTTTGGGGCTGCACACTTGCGTCTCAGAAGTGTATCTTCAAGGTGTCTGTTCTTTGTAATGTTGGGTGCATGAGCGTGATATATAGGCAAAATAATATGCTCAACGCCCACTTTAAATATGGACATTATTTCTTTTTCTGGTCAAAAGCTGGAGGTCAAAATCACGATGGGAATTGAGAGCGGACCAGTTGTTTTCCACATGTACGGTCTTTAGTAATAAACTCTTCCCTGAAAAAGTGAGATGTGCCTCAGCGGTGAGCAGTCCCGGGGCCTGAAGCCATCTGCCCGCGGGACGAGGATGGAACAAGCAGGGTGGGTCCCTGTCCCGGCACGGAGCTTCGTTATCTGCTGCGGTCCCGCGCAGTGCGGAGCTAAGGACTATTTGCGTGCTGCGGGGTGGGATGCGCACGTCTCCCTGCAGCGTGCTGAAGGATGCTGCTGGCATAGTCTTTTATGCCTAAACATCCTCTCGGTAGAGTAGGTTTTCCATGAGATGGGTCGCTGAGACAGACCCACTTTTCTCCCCGTTCCTGGCTGGATCTCTCCCTGCTATTGCCCTTTGCAAGCGGCTTTGTTTCCCCGGGGCTGAGTTATCCTTGGCTGCTCGGTGCCTTCATCCTCGCTGCGGGCCACCGAGCTTGTGCGGTCCAACCCGGCTCAGGGTCCCGGCAGTGCCACCGTCGGCACAGGGAAGGCACGAGTGCCAGCGATGGAAAGTCAGGACACTAGAGTGAAATGAGACAATTTGAAAAGAAAAGGGGATGTTTCCGTCCACACGGTTCTGAAATGCAGGGCAGTGGTATCTGCAAGTTGATAAAAAAACTTTCTTTGGTTGCATGAGCAGTATCTAATATTCATAATATTCCCTCATTAAAAGGGATGAAGGATTTCTCAGACAGTCTTGCTCATGTACATCGTTTTTTGAACAAGCTTCGTCTACCTTAGCAACTTCTCCTGGGAACTTTCCAGCTCCACGCTGAGGCCGCTGGTGCGGCTCGAGGACGGGTCAGTGGCCATGGAGGCATTTAACATTTTAATTGCCTTCCTCTACCGATTGCTTCGATGACCTGTTTGTTTGGATTATATCTCTTTTTCATATTTAAAAAAAAGAAGGGGGGGGAAAAAAAAAGAAAACAAAGGAAGTACAGTGCTGTGCACAGAACAGTTATTAAAAACAGTTGGGAAGCATATAAAAGGTACTGTTTGTGTGAGAAACGGGACAGCTGTGATGGTCTATTGGGAAAGTGTGTACAGATGGTGGTAGGGAGGGGAATGATGACTACATGGCTGATAAATGAAATACAAAAAGCATTAAATTGGTGATCTTTTTAAAGAGTACATTTTTGGTTAGCATTTTTGGTGCATCATTAGGGCTCTTTGTCTGCCTCTTATGTAGCCAGGAAGTGCGACTAT